AAGAATTGCAGGAACCACCAAAATGGCTAAGTCATGACATGAAGCCAGCCAGAAAAAGAAATGTTTCTTCTCCCTAAAGTACTGCAGTCTACTTTTGCTACGAAATAGTTAAAGAGCTGTCAGAATTTCCATAATAAATGGCAGGAGTTTATAACTCATAAAAATTCACTCCAGGCTGAAATTTGGCATAGATATACCCCAGCCTTGAATTTTTTTGTTTGTTTGTTGGGAGCCAACTTTCAATAAAGTGATGCAGCTGTTCTTACTTACTTGCAAACAAACTATAGAAATTTATCCATCTGAGATGTTTTAAGCATGACAAATACCTTCATTTAGAAGTATATAACTGACAAGGACTAAGTTCAATTTCAGTTCTCATAATTCAGGTTTGCTGCTTCCCATCTAGGGTAACTAAAGCAGGACAGTCAGAGGTTTCCCTTCCAGTGATGCAACGGCATTAGATAATGAAAACTAGAAAGCTTTCTAAGGCCCGTAAGAAATGGGAAACAAGTCAGCTACTGAAACCCACCTCCCTTTCCTCCCATTGCCCAATATCCCTCCTCCTCTCCAAAGCTCAACTGTGAAGGTGACACGAGCAGGGGTAAACATTGCACAGGAGACCCAGCCTATGAACTACATCTATCAGTAGGACCAAGGCTACTCCTAGAAAAGGGAAAGCTTATTGGTGTTCTTTCCCTCAGTTTCAAGCACTCTGGTACTATTTATTCCAGTATTGTGGCTATGGCTAAGACTGGATTCTACTTATCTAGAGAATACTTCCAGATTTATATTAAATCTGATATGAACAACTAAACCCCCCTACATAACAAATAGGCTATTTTAGTAATGACTCTAGAGCTGGTAGTTCTCCAAATCTATGCACCTGCCATTAATTTACCACTCTCCTTGCTAAATGTGATAGCCAAAAGGAAAAAAAAAAATATGGTAGGGAAACAGTCTGAGTCCACCAAGTGCAAAAGTTTAAAAAGGGCATCTGTGGAGTCCTTTGTAATGAAAACCAGATTCAGCAATTGTACTAAAAGACTCTTAAAGCATCTGAACTTTCTGAGGCCTTGGGAAAGACATCTGCACTACAGGACTATAAAGAACTATGAAATGCAAAGCCCCTACCACGTGAATACTGATCATTACCACCTGGAAAACAAGCAGAAATAAATAATACAGGCTCCCTAGGTTCTTTTGGGTCTGCAAATTCAACCAGTTGGAATACATATATTCACACTCCCAATGTCTTCTAACTTTATCTCACTTATCCTGCAAGCTTTCTTGTACATTTATCTGCCAAAGTCATCAGCTTAAGCTGTTTCTTCTTCCCAGGAACTGACCGTCAAAGCCAGTTAAGACGGAGTCATCAGACAAAGCCCCATTTGTCTGCTTTATCCAATGCCTATTCAAGACAGACACTGAGTTTTCCTGAGGGAATGTAGGAAGGCAAGAAGAAGAAGCCAAAAGGATAGAATTGGAAATTTTCCAGACCAAATCTTACTTTTTGTATTACTTAAGCAAAATCCTTTTCTCTTCTACTTCTCATTATCGTTATCAATTCTTCATCTCATCTCTTCTCTCAAACTCCAGTGTCAGCTTTCCTTAACTTTTTTTTATAACTACCCCAATTTCCAATTTTTTTTTTTACAATTTGCCACTTCTTTCTTTACAACTTTTCCCAAGTCCATCACTTTCCATTATTAAGGCCAAAGATCTAGTCCACGATAAGGCAACTTTTCGTACTGACTACAGCCATCATCTCCGTGCTTGTCTTGCCTCCTGCCAGTCCCTCCCAAGACCAGGTGCAAAAATCATCCACCTTTCCATTTCAGTGCCTGAAGTTGCCTTTGCCCTTCGGAAGCTCTCCAGAGCTCACCTTTCATCCTGCTCCTTCCTTCCATCCTTCTTGCACAGTTTTTTCTACTCCTTTGCTGGCAGGGTGACCTCAGCAGCAGCTGAACTGAGGTGTGCCCAGTTTACAGGTCCTGCTTTGAAAACTTTCCACAGGTAGAAACGAAGACTATTCCACTAGCTGTAGAATTAGAAAAGGGTGAAGATAAGGGTGACATATAGGTACTTTTTGAGCCACTAGACACAGCTGTATTGTGAAAAATGCCAAAGTATCTCCCTCAGAGTGAATATTAAGGATTCATACAATATGCAACATGAATTTGTATCTCCTCATGTAACTAGGATTAAAAATCTACAGATTTCACAAGAATTTTTGTGATTATCTCTACTCACAAGGGAAATTGAGATCCCATGTATCTTCTATTCAATAATTTTAATAAAAGATTAGAGATGACCTGATCCGGTATATTCAGTATTCTTTTTAACTAAACCTCTAATGACACCATGATTAATGCAAAACTTAAACTAAATAATATATATGAGCTAGACAAGTTCATTAAGTTCTGGGTGACCATTTTTTTTTTAGTCTGCAGAAATACCGTGACACTGCCAGGTAGTACGCATAACATTGTACTTTTGCATACACACCAAGCTCTGTTATGTAACTGAGAATGCAACATGCTGAGCACCGTATTTAAGAAAACTGACTACATTTAAGATTGTGTTTCAAGATGCTGCTGTTTAAGATACAACCTGAACAAATCTATAGGATAACTTCATGAGAAAAAAAAAGAGATTTCCAACACTTCTAGATATTTACTCTTTCATTCTAACAATAGCTCATTACTGGAATTGAATAAGACTGAAGACTGCCTCTCTGCTTTTCAATTCATCAGTCTTTAGCAGAAACAGGACTGCATCTTTGGCCTGTGTTGATGCTGCTGTCCAATCTTATTATCATATGAATATCTAGTTATTGTTTTATAAATGTTCACATTTCGGGAGCTCCCTGCTTTCTTTTCTCTCAGTAGACTTTACAATATCCACCTTCATTATCATCATGTGGCAGCATTGCTCTTTGCCTGCATTTGCTACTTTAAAAATTAATGCACTGCTATTTTCTGAATACTGTACTGCATAAGCTGCTTATGAGTACATTATGCTATCAAGCAAGCACATGCAGAAAAGCTTCCTAAACTGTTATTCTTTCAATGAAAATACAGCTGGTTCTGCTTCAAAGGCACTTCTTTTCACCTGCAAATGGACTTGCTCCTACACTTATTCCTCAATTCATTGTCTTTTATTTGTGTCTGCAAATCTT